TATTCTGGGGAATGGTTGAATGGGTTTGGGTTTAAGTATTAACCTACAGTTAAGAAAAATGTAGCTTAATTGCTGCAAGAAGCAACTAAAGACTTCAGCACTGACAACCTAATCAGCTAACCTTGAACTATAGAGTTCAACATCTTTGGAGGCAACTAGTTCCAATCTCCATGTGACTCTGAGCAGGTGTGCTGCCAGGGGAGCAACTGTTGGTACATTTTGCAGCCTTAGCAGTAGTTATTTAAAGGTTGTTTTGAACAAGAAGCCCACAATGCTTGTGTGGTTCAGACTAGGCTTAAACGCAGACTGCACTGAATACCTATAAAGAAGGGGAGTGCAAGACACAGGGTCCCCTGGATGATAAAATACACATAAGAGCTGTGCATGTCAGCAGTATCTTGAAACAGCAATGGTGCTGGGGCACAGCAGGCTACCAGGCATCACAGTCACAGCTGCACTGTGCTGGGCTGCTGGAAGAAGTTAATCAGAATTCAGAAAAGAGTTACATAGTGATCCAGAGGGGTAGAAATGCAGCTCTAGGCAGCAGAAGAAACTCTGGAGTATATTGTAACCCAACACCATGTGATGCTGAAGTGGTGGTGAAGGCATGAAGTTTCTGAAAGCATAAAAACTGCCATAGTGCACAATAGGTAAGGTGTTGAAAAGGACATACTGAAGAAAACAAAAGACTCAGCAGGACGAGTTGCCAACTGCAGACAGTAATTCTGTTCATACACTGGCCCCAATCCATGCTCAGAAGCACAGGACATGACAGACCAGCACCATCCCTTTTAATGAGAGAATGCAAAAGTTGCACAGCAGCTGTGACTGTACAAGAAAGTTTGCCTTGTTTTATATGAACTCACACTGGTAATTGATATAGGAGGTCAAGATTATAAAGCAGTTTATTGCCATGTAAGTGGAATGTGTTCCATAGTTGTGATTATATGGTGAGAGGGAAAACAAACTTGCTTTCTTGCAGATTTGGTTTAATATGCAACAATATGATTCCCCAGGAAGGATAAGTTTTGATATCACCAAGCTAAAACTGTGGAAGCCTTTCTTTTCAAGAAACTTGCCGTACCCTGGTCTCTACAGTGTTCAGGTATTAACAGATCTATTACCAACTCGATCTAAGGGGTTGAGAGCACAGACTTAGTACAAGAAACAGACGCTAAATTATTTGGACTTCTGTGGTTAACTGTATTTATGTAATAGCATTAGGTTTTAAAAATATTTTCCCACTCCTTAGAATATGAAAGCAAGAATACAGCAAAGTATTTGATTTTATACAGAATGAACACACATCTGTTGTCCTCTAAACATCCATGTAAGATCTTAGGACAACAGTGAAGTGAATGGGACAAATCTTTAACACAACTCTATCCTGAGAAGTAGCTTGGTATTACACAGAAAATGTCAACTTCTATCTTACAGCTAAGGCAGCATTATTTCAAACTGTACACACACCCTTAGTAAACAAACATGAATTTTTCTAGTTTATCAAAGGTATAAGCAGTTGAAGTCTACTGAGAAAAGAAATAACACCATTACACTCAAACATTTCATTAATTTTTATGTCTCGACTAAGTAATAGATTATTTTAGCAAAGTTGTGAACACATACCATCAAGGCAGTAACTCCTAAAGTTACATTACGGTATAGCTAGAAGAGATTGCCCTTTTTAATATTTAAACTTTTTATTTATTTCTAGCCTGAAGAATTATTTTATCAGCATTCGGACAAGGCTGCTGTGGTGGAACTACAGGACAGGTAATTCTACCTCTAAAACAAACGCTGTCAGTGCTAGCGCTGATCACCAGAGATGGAGCACCTTCTTACGTTCCTCAAGCATACTCATACCCAGGTCCTAAAAACCTGCTTTGAAAGCTAGGAATTGAGAATGGCTTAAAATCATAAACTGTAACTGGCAGGGCTTTTTCAAATTCTCTCTCTTTAACAGTGATTGCCAGATAGAAAGAACTGATCAAGCATTGCTGTACACTTTCCCAATAAGCCAAAGTGCTGTAGAGGGACGAGGGGAGAGGGTGTAGACTAAAAAGGGGCATAAGCCCCTGGCCTCCCATTCGGTTACTGAACAAGCAGGCACCATACAGCTTCTTCGGTACTGCTTTTCTGTGCTTTTAAGTAGTGGTAAATTTAACCATATGTTTGTGTTTCCCATAATCTGTACTCTGTCAAGGGAGATCAAATGAGATATCCAGGAAATAACAGAATTGTAATAATGAGTATATTTTATTGCAGGATTGAAAAAATATTAAAAGATAAGATTATGGAATGGAGACCGAGGCATATAACTCGTTGGAACAGATATTGTACCTCTACCCTGCGCAACTTTCTGCCGCTGCTGGAACAAAACCAAGGCAAGGACGTAGAAGATGACCATCAGGCAGAGCTGCAAAAACAGCTCGGAGATTACAAGGTACAGTTATGAACATACATGGCTTCTACATGGAAGTAGGAATATAAATGCCTAGGATTTAGTATTGCTACTCTGTGGTGTAGAAGTGTGTCCTAGGCTCTTTATTTCCTCTACTCCCAAAAGTCACAAGAGCTTTTATAGAAATATGAACCAAGGTAATGTTTATAGAGTGAAGGAGTGATGATTTGTTTTTATTTCATTTGTAGATGTTGACGATAAAAGCTTTCTGATAACAAAAGCCTGCTTATAGGCTGATGGGTGCATTAGCTCTCACATCCAGTCAGTAAGAATGTGGCACTGGTGCCGAGTAGTGCTACACAGAGTCTACTTACAGGTGCAGGAGCCCACACAACAACATGCTGTACTACTCAAGTATTCACTGCAGGCACCAGTGTACCCATACATTCCTCCTCCAGGCTGTTCTAAAGGTTAGGTCCTTACTGTCCACAACTACGGCAATTTTCAAAACGAGTTGAGGTTTTGGTTCCTGTTTGACCTGAAATGTATTATGGGCAGGAGACATTTGCCACCTCCAATCCAATGAAATAAAACCAGTTCAGAGGCAGAAAAGCAGCAAAGTTATGCTGTATGTGTTCAATAATATAACTTTATTCTACTGGATTTCTAAACATCTTCACTTCAAACAACCCAAACTAAAGAGGAAAAATGTCAAAGCTTGCCTGGAGTATATGAAATAGGAATGTGGTATTAAAATACAAAATGGGCTTTTTTATTGCATCTCCTCAGGCCAGCAATAGAAAAGGTAAATTTACATGCACTGTAAACTAGATTTTTAAAACAATGTATTTATTCAAGTGCTCTTACCTTTTATTCTTACCGTATGTGTTTTTTCCCGTTTCTCCAAGGTCTCTGGATTTCCTATTCATATGCCATTTTCTGAAGTCAGACCTTTAATAGAAGCTGTACACAGCACAGGAGTTCATACCATTGATGTTTCCAACGTTGAATTTGCTCTAGCTGTGTATATTCATGCTTATCCCCAAAACGTTCTCTCTGTATGGATTTATGTTGCTTCACTTGTTCGAAATAGGTAGTATAGACCAGTCAGAATACCTCAAGAAATTTACTTATGTAAGGGTAAATAAAACAGATTTCTCACACTGCTGATTTGACTATCCCCCGTATTTTAAAAATAGAGTGAGAACTTGATTTTCAGTAGCTGCAAATTTACCCTACAAACACTGAAGATACTAAATACTGCTAAGGGAGAGACTGACAAATTCCAGTACTAATGGGTGATTTTTATGCAGTATTTTATAGCTCCCAGTGGGACACCACACTCTTAAAAGCATTACACATGCCCACCTCTAGAGTAAAATGGTAGACTTTGGCCACCTTATCTTCAGGTGAAAATTGGTTCCTGCCTGGAATCATGCCTTGAAAACTATGTTTTTAGCTAGTCAGCTTACTTTATCTATAGACCTTCCTCTTCAAAGACGCAGTCATTCAGTTACAATGCAAGTAGTTACAGTTTCCCAGTATCCAAGTTCCTGATTGAAGACCAGGACTATTTACCCATGAATCAATTTCATGCACCAAAGAGCCATCAGTGAAGGCCATGCTTCAGTTTTTAAGAGGATGCTTCTTCTGCTACTTCATACTTAGTGTCTGTTTAATGACAGCACCATTTAGAGGTGTAAGATTACATTTTCTGTGAAAGTATTTAATAAATATTTATACCAAAAATTAAGTGGAAGCTCATTCATTTTATACAAGAATTTGATTAAATTACTTCGGAGTACAAGATCCTTATCTGCAAGTTACCCTAGTAAAAGATTATAAAAATAAATTTACTAAAAATCATACTCACTTATTAGTATCTAAGTAGTGGTGTTAACTGTTTATGCTGATAACAAATATATACCCTTTTCCTGCAGTTACCTTACTAATTAAAGTCTTCCACGCAAAAATGGTGGGCTGAGCTAGGAAGGGTGTTCATCAGAACATAACAAAAGTTAAGATTGTTCTTGAGCTTAATTCCAAACTAGACTCAGTCCATCTAAAATACTAGACACAAAATCTCTCATTTAGAGCCTGTGGTAGCCACAGGTTCCCTCTATAAACCTCCAGCAGAAAGGAACAGCTATGTTGTTGGGCTACAATACTCACTTCCACTTGGCAACAGGCTCTTCCCCATACTGCCCCCACACACACACTCACACACTACTCATACATTACTCACTTCTCTTCCTAACACAGGTTTCACTCAGCCCAACAATGGCTTCTCTGCCTCCCAGCTAGTCTCTACTGTTCAGTGAGGGGTCTTTTTAAAAAAATAAAGCAATGGGGAAAATGTAGTGTTGTTTTCCATGGCTTTCATGAATGAAAACTGACATCCCTTGAAGCTGTTTCAAAAATGCATCTTAACACAGTCATGGGAAGAAAAATACCAAAACAAATGCCCCCACACACATTGCAAGGTTCACAGGTCTGCATCCACCGCAACACCCACCCATCCACCCAATCTCTGCAGCCTACTGGTATGGTACGCCTGGATATTACACCTTAAAAGCATATATATTCAACTGCTACATAATTTTTTTATTGGTGGGAATGTTTTATTTGAGTATGTCTTTCAAGCCCAAATACAAAACCAAATGCAAAAGGAAGGTGGGAATTTCCCTAATTTTGCAATATAAAGAACAACTTCAGGATGAGAGGAAAGCGGGAGAAACAAGGCTCCTAAAGATGTATAACTGTTACCCAGATGCAAACAATACATTTCAAATTCTCTGCTGAGCTTTATATTGTACTTACGGATTCAAAATAAAAAAACATTCACTTAACACAAAATAATCCAGTAAAGTATATTTAAGTGCCAAACTTGGAAGAAAGTGGCATTAAGAAAAAACAAATGTTTTCCCATCTTCCCCAAATTAAGTAAAACAAAACCCAACACCTTTCAAACCAAATGAGATTTTGTGAGATTGTTACAACACTGTACAGTACACTCATAATTAAGATTTTGAAGTTGTGGGCAGGATCAAGCTAGTATAACAAATCTCACTCCAAGGATTGTTAACACAAGATGCAAACTGTAAGTAAAGTGCATGAAAGGAAGCCTGCTCAGCTAAATGAAGTAGACTGAAAGATCAGAAGTCAGCGGTCATTCGCCAGAGCGGCAGCAGGCCCGAAAACCACACTGCAAATTCTGGCATCCACTGGCGGTTTCAGCATGAGGACCTGCACAAAAACAGAACAAATGTGAAAAGGAGCAGAGGCCACTTATTTAGATTCAGAATTCTCATAACCTGGTAATGCAGAAAATTTCTCCTTCTTTTTTAATACACTAAGCTTCATTCAGCACTGTGAAGCCTGAAACACGGCCAGTACTATCACAGTATAAAAACCTCAATTGGAACAGGTGTTTTTGAAGAGATTTTTACTCTTGTAGCTTAGTCTCATGACAAAAAACACATTCAAAGTGACACAGATCTACGATAAGCAACACTAAATGAGCAAGTTCAAGCAAGGTCTCACAGCTAGCTTTCAGAACTGAGGTGTGTTTTCACAATGCATATTTAACTGCCATTTTTCAAATTCAGATGATGACTTCATGGCATTAGAAAAGAAAACAATCTCCAAAACTATTTCTACTATAATGGAAACAATTTAGTTTGGAAGGTTTCTTCTTCATGAACACTTGATGGTTGGCTGGACCTCATGTACTCTGACTGGAAATTCAAAAAACTAAAGAGAAAAATCATCTTTATTATCACTGTAGTTATCAGAAGCCATACAGTTAAAAACTTGCCATTCAAAAAGAATGAATACATTGCAAACACAGACAGTATAAACGAGCACTGTAATTCTACCCACCTCCACTTACCTTCACTTACTGTTATCCCTTTAATTTGAAAGGTTAAAGTGATCTTGAGATAAGAAACTATTAAATTTATTGGCACAGGATTTATTTCCTGCAGCCATATGCCTGCTTTAGAGACACAAGCATTTACATTCAGGTTGCCTGAACTCTGGCACCCAACATAAATTGCAAGTGGGTTGCTGAGTTAACTAAAACAAGCTGGTAAGGACCTAACCAGAATGACCCAAATTTCCGGCAGTTGTATTTGAGACAAACCAAAGAATATTTAAAGGTGTTTTTAATACATTTAGAAAGGACTAGCAAAATAATATAACAAACCAGGGCACCATGCTATGTCTGGCTTGTTTTTTCCCCTTGAACAGTAACTTGAAGTCATAATTAATTTCTGAGAACCTGGTGTCTAGAAATCAGCTTTCTGCTTCATGCCACACACCGATGAGCAATATTCTACCAGGTAATGAAGTTAACATGCATGAGGCTGAAGAAAACAAACCTGAAGCTATAATGAAGGACAATGGTAATGCAAAACAGTAAACTTTTTGTTTGCTAATAAGCTCATTTTCCTTTTCAAATCTTTTTATTCACCTGAACTAAATTTTGATCCTCCAAGTCACTTACGAGCTAGTTTGAAAGCTTCTTCATTAAGTCCTTTAAAAAGGAGACTCAGTGCTTCTGAACAGCTGGTTTAGCAGAGCATGTTCTGTGCAGCAACATTTTCCAAGTTGTAGCTGACCTTCCTCAGTATTGCCACAGCTAAGCAGCACATCAGTAATTCTGAAGCAACTGTCACATTTCTAGTAAAATGGCTGTCAACAAAAGGTACAGAACCACAACATCCTAAGGAAAGGAATACTCAGTATACTTCAGTATTTGTTTTCCATCCTTTTCTTGCTCACTTTAAGAATGTTCTTCCTCATGCTCATAACTGGAACATAAAAACTGCCCTTCTAGGTCTGACCAATGGTCCCTCTAACCCTACCTTCATCACTGGCAACAGCTAGTGCTATCAAGGGAGACCATAAGCCTGTCGTGCATACCTTTCATGTCTTCCCAGCATCCCTCACCTATCGTAGTAAGGACATTAAAAGTTTGTTCCCTTTAGCATTTGTTTATGCTTCAGTTGTGCATGCATTTGTTTAACCTCTCTTTAAATCTGCTGATATTAACTGCTTCCACAATTCCCACAGGACCAAGTTCCAGAAAGTCACTACATTGTCCATCTTCTTTAAATCAGTCGCCTACTCGCTTCATCTACTGTCCCTGAGCTCTAACACTGCAGAATTTGGAGTTACTGTTGCACATTAACTTCATCTACTGCTTTCCCCTTTCTGTATGCAATCATCTCCCTTTCAGCCTTCTCATTCCCAGACTGAAACATTCCAGTCTTCTGAGCATCTCCTTGCAAGACAGCTGCTCAGTTCCCTCTTTTTAGCAACCTCTTCTGTATCTCCTGTAACTCCATCACATACATTCCTCAAGATGGGGAGACCAAAACCACATGCAGTACTCCAAATGTGAGTGCCCCAAGGCTTCCAGGACCATGCAGCAACACCTCTCTCTTGTTCTCAACACCCTGATGATGCGTAACAGTAGTGGCCTTTTTGGCTGCTGCTGCAAACAGGAAAGATCTCAGAATTAGCACCTATAGCTCTCTGAAATCATTGTTTCCACATTGCAACTGCCAGCTCCGAATGCAGTTTCATGCAATCACAGTTTGATTATTCCCAGCCACCTGGATGTATAACCATACATACAGCTACACTGAAGCTCATGAGAAGTCCTTCAGGAAATCTTCAGCACCAGCATCGTTACTTTGAGTTACTTTAAGCTTGGAAATTGCCATGTGCATTATACACCAGGACAGCAATGGAAATGCTGAGTAGGACTGATCACAGCACAGAACTCTTGGGTTGGGGAATGGAGAGGGGTGTCACCTCCCAGACTCCTGTCCATCCTGAACAGTCACCATTAAGCCCTACTCTTTCTTTCTATCTTTAAATTAGATTTCAGTATAGTCTTACAGCAACTTAAAACCTCAAAATCTTAGAAACTTCTAAGCAAACTGCATCATCTGAAAAATTTATACGTTTGTTTCCTAATTTACTAGGCACTGACTTACAACATTAACCACATCACAGTGAAAATTCACCCTTCCTCCTATGTTTCATCTCTTGTCCCACATCTAATCCTGTTACTACCACCAATGTCCCTTTAAAGCCTCTGATAAAGAACTCTGACAAAATTAAATATTCAGGGTTCAAATCACATCTCCTGATATCTCCCACCCTGTGCTCTTTCTTAGCATCTACAGACAATTCCCATAATTTGGAGAGCATTTTATGCTCTTATTACAACAAGGTAGTAAATGTCACTGATGGCTGTTTTAACAGTAAGGCTGTTTGGTTTTGACTCATTTTGTTTATGTTTTGACATGGCAATTGGTCTCCTCCATCACAGGTCATTTATCTCCTCTATGAACGCCCTAGCCCTCCTTAGCTTGTTCTTTTTACATTTGATACAGATAGCAAAATTGAAATGCCTTTCTTTTGACAGGCACAGAGATTATTTTTTATTTCCCTAGTGTTATTTATTACAGCTGACTTTTGGCTACACCTCTCCGGCTTCCTAATATCTGATTTCCCCACTCTTTGCTACTGACCCCATTTGGGTTTTGTTTTCAAACTATCTCTGTCAAAATTCAAATGGCCTCTTTGCCAAAAACCACTCTCTCCTGTTTTCTTTGGACTCTATATACAAGGTCTCCAGTTCATCTCACCTCACTGAAGCAATATGGAAGGTGTGTACACTTCCTTTTATATTGCCCAGTGAGTGGGACAGCCCTTTTAGATCTGACAGCAGGGCTGAATCACTTTCAGAAGGGTCTCTTTCTACTGACTGGGAAGACTTAATGAGTGCTAGCAGCGATGTGCCTAAATTAAATGTATTTTGGGCTGGTTCACCTGGGAAAGCAAAGTTAATCAGATTCTCATATAACCTGCGACTGTCTACGTTACTCGTTTAATTACCGCTGAACTGGATTATTATAATGCTCTTACATGCACATCTGATTACTCAGATGCTTCAGGTGACCCAGAACAGAGGTCTGCTTACTCACGGTGAACAGCTCTCAGGGTTTTCAAACAAACTACATATAAACACATCTTGCAATGTAAGAAAGGAGCATAGCTGTTTGATTACTCCATTTTGTTCCATGTACTAGTGAAACAAAAATTAGTTTAAACTTCCTAGAAAGAAGTTAGGCATTTCACCAACAATACATGTGAGCCCAGACAAAGGCCACGGTGAAAGAGCCACTCCAGACAGGACAACTGGCTGCCACCACCACATCCCTTCAGCCACTTGTTCTAGCTCTCGCCTGTGGCAGCAGAAACATTAAAGCGGTCTACAGCAACATGGGTCCCTGACCAATCTAGAAAGACGACAAAAAAAAAAAAAAAAAAGCAGCTTTCAGCTACCCTAGTTCTTTGAGTTTACCAAGTAGCCACACAAAGACTAATGCTGGCCACAGGAAGGCAGTAAGAATGAGCTGGGAGGAACACAAAGGAGGGAAGGACAGACAGTTCTTTTCACAGCCACCACCAGTAAGAGGCCCCATCATCACCACTTCATACTATACTTGATGGTAATATAGCAAAAGTAACACATTTCAAGGGAATTACCAAAAACATGATCTAATTAAGCATTAGCTTTAAAAAATATATTACGGCAATATTAAATTCAAATCTGAGTTTACAAAGGGCTACTCTCTATCAGTCTTTGGTACAGACCTTTTTATAAGAGCACCTTGCTTATCTGTAGAACTTAGAGACCAAACTCTTGAAGTCTAACAACAATGCATTCCCATATAAATCTGCACACAGGAGTCCATAAATCTTTACAGAAATGGCAAGGCCTTGGCTCCATTGCTGGAAGACAGATCAAACTACGACCAATTAATTTCTAAATGTCAGAAGAAAAGAGTGAATTGTCAGAATCACAACTTGTCTTCATTTAATGCCCTATTCCTTTAATTACAACATCTTAGCAATACATCATTAAAAATCATAGAAACTGAATCATACTTAAAAGCTGCAAAGAAGTACTGCTGCAGAAATTAGGGAGCCCCATTTTTCTAATCCTGAAGCTGACAGCACTCCAGGCTTTAAAGCTGAGAATACAGTAAGGCGATTGAACACAGCTGGACAAAACACCCTGTGGGAAAATACAAACTTTTACATGGCAAGAGGTAACTCAAACATTAAACTGTTTTTACTGAGTTCAGTGTGACTTACAATCAGATGTGTTTTAGACGTTAAACAAAACCAGCAATTAGAAGGGGTGTTACAATGACAGATTTGTTTTCAGCTGCAGCTGAGGGTTATGTAACTCCAAGTCTCCAGTGTTGAACAAAACATAGGTAGAGATCCTAAACATTAGTATGGAAACCAAAAACTGAAGTCATACTAACAGTAAACAAACAAAATAAATTTAGAAGTGTGTGCAAATTCATGGTCTCTGCTCGTAAAACCTGCAACATATTACTGCTGTGCAACAGCAGGCTGTGACTCAGACCCAGCTGAGTCTAACTATAGCTGCTACATTTTTAGCTTTAGTCTACTAAAAAGGTAGAGCAGTTATGTTAGACCAGAACTTGCAATGGAAAGCTGAAAACTGCAAACATGTCTACCAAACAAGTCCATGAAAATCTCCACAAAGAAAATCCAATGAGGCTGTATGTAAGGGCCCCTGATAGGTTCAGTGTTTACTAAAAAATCTGAAAATAGGTTGTAGGTGAAAGCAAAAACCTTTATATGTCAACAGACAACAAAGTGGTATCTTTATTATTCAAAGATGGCTAAATTCCATGCTGTTGGCTCCATTTTTTGTTCTGCAAGACTGACTGATTTTCCAATGTGATCCCAGAACATATCTCCTTCCTTGAAAACAATCCCTGATAAGCTGGTAGGCAAAGAAAACTATGAAATTATTCGCTACGTGCTTACAGACCAGTAATCTTTGTGCAGCCCTTAATAACACAATCCATATATGTGCAGACAAACATAAACAGCTTCAGATATGGATTGATTTAAATGAAACAGCTACTGCTTTCCCTCCAGTTACTTTAGAAATACCAAATGATACAGAAAAAGTTCAAGCTGTCACAGAAATCCTGCTGCTGACAGAACGGAATAAGGTATTAGTTTCACACTGAATAGCCCTATCGCAATGAAGTTTAAGTGAAAATATAAAGAGCAGTGCCCAGATAAAACTCCAAGGGATTCAGTTGTAAAAGGTTATTTCCCATTTCAGAATTTTGCTAGGACACCTCCCCCCCCCGTAAGTTTTTATTGACTTCCTTAAAGAAACAGCTACAAACTTCTGAGATGTTGCTATTTCTCTATAGATGTAAGAAGTCAGACCATTACAGCCTCATTCTCCTGTTGACTTCTCTCTACAGGAGTAACTGTTCATCCAAAAGCATGCATGATGCTTTACAGAACCAAGCAGCGTTTATAGGCTCACAGTTTCCAGGAGGCAGTAAAAGGAAGGAAATAAACAGGAAGAGGGTCAGGACAACTTTACAGAATAATTCCAAAAAGTATTCTACTTAAATATAAATAATTTCTTGAGGATATTATGGAACAGCTGAGCTGTAAAGTGGTGGACTCTCACAAGAGATTTTGGTTTTGTAAACTAATACTAAGATGACATAGCATATTTTGGGGACAAAGAGAGAAACAGAAATGTCTGAAGACAAACGAGAACATCATTTCTGGTATTACTGACAGAAGTGAAAACAGGAGAAATAGCAAGGAATCAGATATAAAAGGAAAAAGGCTTTTAACTGGTCTTTGAAGACATCTTTAAACTCCACACAATGCAGGAAGGAGAGTCACTGAAGGATTTTTAAAAAAGGAATCTTAAAATTTTCAGGTTGAAATGCTAGAAGATTTTTAAAAGCTGTAGTTTCGATGGAATGGAAGGAAGTAATAAAGAGCACGTCTCATATAAAACATAACAGCAGTGTCAAAAAGGTGCATAAAAGTGCAAAAATTATGGAAACAAAATATGGTTTAATATTTTCACTTCTAATATTAGGATCCAATCCAAGTACATCATCTTATATCAATTTCAATGGATCAAATACCCAATTGTCAGTACAGATTAACTTGTACTACCAAAACTCTGGCATCCTGTACCCCTGCTGTGGCTGCATCTCAGTATAGATGCAAATTACCAAACTGAACACCATGAACTACCAGGGAATATAATTTCATTTTACACGCAGTTAGCTCTTATAGCTCTTATAGCTCTTCCGTGAGCTCAGTTATTGTCCTCCTTTTCCCTTCCTTTCCATTGCACTTACCTGTTTTATATTCACACATAGAAAACAAGCCACACCGTGGTTCCCATCTCTAATACTATGGACTTACTGGACCTAGCATAATAGACTGAATTCCAGTGGGGTAAACACTGAAAAGACTTTCACCATAAACATATTTTATGCATTTATCCAGATCCTTCCTCAGCTTAGATCCCTTCCTAAATTACTGACTCAAGCAAAACCAGAAAAACTAAATTACATTTTCCATAAGGACACACGATGGTAGGATCCAAAATATCCTATACTAAAACTACTGCAATATGGGAGGGAGGCTTGCATAGCAAAACACAAAACATGTCATTCCTTTCCTAAAGATCACTGCTTTGGTACCGATCTAACGAACCCTGTCTGAAGTTATGACCATAAAGAAAACAGAACTACATGGTTTAGAGGGAAGATACAGAGAGCACAAGTGTGTACTAGCTATATGGAGACTTACTTTCTAGCCCCTATTATTTATGCTAAACTAAATTATGAGATACATAGGAAAGCGTTTTTAGTTCATGTAATACAGAACTGTACTAGTGTCGAGCAAAAAACCCAGAAGAACAAATCAGGAAACACTGACTTAACAGTTGTCATTTCATGATTAATCTGTGAAACTCAGTGCTATACAGACAAGAAAAAAAAAAAAAAAGTTGGGGTTTGGTGAATCTTTTTGTTTTTAAGAAGTGCCTTTAAACCAAACATTGCTCCCTAGAAAAGCATCATGTCTTCATAAAAAGACATTACCGTTAATGTTGTCACAGTAGTAAAAATGTTCATCGTTTAGAGAAGGGCATGCAGAAACTAAATCCTGCAGGCCTGCACCAGTTACAGTGAGACAACCCGAGAGGTTAAGGTGTTCCAAATGCGGCAGTCCTCCTCCCAGAGTCAATGCCCTGTTAACAGACAGAAGAGAGCTGTTAAGAGCCTGAACAGCGCTAGACTGACAAGCATTCCACTATGTCACCAAGTCACAGACTTAATTGCATCTCATAACAAGAAAAAACCTCAACTCTAATAAATCATGCCATTTTAAATCTGGTAGTTTCATACCCCAGAAGCTGCATAACAGACCTAAAAATGAACTGATTTCTACAGAAATTAACAGTTCCTTCTGACAGACTTGAATGGTAAATCGCTTTGTTTATGAATGACTCCAGAGATGACGAAGTATTTCAAAGAGCTACCAAGACATTCTTCTCCAAAACACCACTCATTTTGGCAACCCTTCCAAGGTGGTACATGTTCCTCAACCCACCCTGAAAACATGACACTCCCAAGATTGGTACATTATGCTTCCAAAAGTTCGAGTGCCTTATATTTTTTTTGGTTAACATTATTTTAGAATTCAAGTTTATATTTTCCTGGGGCTGACAGTGGAACCTCTCTCTGCCAACACACCACCTTATTATTCCAAGGGGAATTCTCTGTTTTTCCTTCGAATGCAAGAGTTTGGCTGCTGATGCAACAGCCTCATGGATGTATCACACCTGAGCAATCACTCCATGTTAGGTTGCTTGCTTCTCTGTGAGCTCACAGGGCTGCCAGCCCAACTTCAATCACAAACAAGCTCACCCACCTGAAAAAAAACCACCAGGCTTGAATCACCAAGCTGCAGATTCAAGCCAGGACATATAATTGAAAATATCTTCAGAGCCTCACTGTACAACTTTCTCTTGTCAGCAGGCAGAAGTAGAACTGTTGACCACAAAACCAGCTATCGGTTAACAATTTTTCTATGATATGAACTGGCAAGTGTTTCTATTAGGAGGTTTCATTCTCTTTCTTCAGGGACTCAAACTATTCTGGTAAGTGCAAGAACCACACTCTCAGCTCTTAAATAATGTCTTTTATCCAAAAAGCACCAATGGGAAACGCGCACCACAACTAAACTCTTCCCATGATGCAATGGCCAAACCTCTCTTTGGTCCTAGATTACCAACTCATGAAAAAACAGACCAGTAACATGCAAACTACACACAGCATGACCTAATCAGCACCAAATTAAATGTAGCACTACCAGTCCGCTCCAACACTCCAACAGCAACACAAACACAAAGCACAGCTATCTGAAGCTTATTCTGAGCAAGACTAGCACTGGTGACTGAAAGAGCGTGTGTCAGAGGAACCACTACAGGAGACATCTGAACATCTGATACTTCTGAACATCAAATGGGGATGAAGTCTCTGAAGAGACAAATCAATGCCAGCAGCACCTCACACTACTTCTCAGTTGACAACAGCATACAGTACAGGTAGGCATGAAGTCTTCCCACTCCAAGAAGCTTAATTAGCCCTAAGTGCTGCAGCACACCTGAACAGCGAGCACTTCGGCCTCATCGCATTTTCATTACGAAGCAATAACTACATTTTTCTGACACAATACAAAATATCAATGGCAAATATTGTCACACAGGAAATTTTGTAACTCTTGAAGCCACCTCAATGTTCAAGTCAACTTCAACTATTTTTTCTCCTCCTTTAATTGTCATATGAAGTCATATTTAATGTGAAATCCTAACACACAAAATTATCATGGAATCACTTAGATTGGAAAGGACCCTTAAGATAGAGTTCAGCCATAAACCTAACACTGCCAAGTCCACCACAGCTACAGGTCTTTTAAATACCTCCAGGGATGGTGACTCAACAACTACCCTGGGCAGCCTGTTCCACTGTTCTACAGCCCTCTTGGTGAATAAATTTTTCCTAATAGCCAATCTAAACCTCCCTTGGTGCAACTTGAGGCTGTTTCTTCTTGTCCTATCACTTGTTACTTGAGAAAAAGAGACTGACACTCACCTGGCTACTACCTCCTTCTCAGGTAGTTGTATAGAGCGATAAGGTCTCCCCTCAGCCTCCTTTTCTCCAGACTAAAAAACCCCAGTTCCCTCAGCTGCTCCTCACAGGACTTCTTCTCAAGACCCCTCACCAGCTTTGTTGCCCTTCTCTGGACCTGCTCGAGCACCTGAATATCTTTCCTGTAGTGAGGGACCCAAAACTGAACACAATATTCGAGGTGTGGTCTCACCAGCACAGTGGTATGATCACTTCCCTAGTCCTGCTGGCCACACTATTTCTGATGCAGGCCAGGATGCTATTTGGCCTTTTTGGCCACCCAGGCACACTGCCTGCTCATATTCAGCTGGCTGTCAACCAACATTCCCAGGTCCTTTTCCATCAGGCTGCTTTCCAGCCACTCTCTCCTGAGCCTGTACCACTGCATGGAGTTGTTGTGACTCAAGTGCAGGACCCAGCACTGAGCCTTGTTGAATCTCATCCAAATGGCCTTGGCCCATCAATCCAGCCTGTCCATAAATTACGCCATTATCCACAGAGGTTAAATGAGATAAAACTTTATAGAACTGGAGTAACAATTGTATTGACAGGCATAATGTACAATTAGTGAATCAACATAATTTTCTAACAAAAAAATCACTAAAGATCAAATCTAAAAGCATCAATACTTCCCAGAACAACAAATCCACAAAAATACTTGACTTAGGAGGATATGTCTAAAATATTTCATTATTTTTTAATCCCCAAAGGAAAAGCTGGATAAAGTTTTCAAGTCTGGACTTTAAATATTTTAAGATGCAAAGACCATTTCAAACTTACCAGAGTTTCTTCAATAAAAATGTTTCTGCTGAAACTAGGCAGATTCACCTCAGAATGATCCAACAAATAAAATTATAAAAAAAAAATACTGCAGTAAAATAGTTCAAAAATGTCTCCTCACCTGAGAGCACGGTCTGTGATCTGGTAACATCCAGACAGACTGAGAAATTGAAGAACTCGTGCAGTCTCTTCATCTGTTTTTTCACTCCCAGAGTACACAGAGTCTTTTTTCTCTGACTGCTTAGTCCTTGTTGGTTTTTTACACAGTGCAGAGGACTCTGGAAGTGCTCGAATAGTTCTTACTGCTGACCCAGCACAACAAAATGAGTGACCGCAGTAAATCAAGTCAGTAGAAGCACAGTGCTGCTGCCACCCTCTAGTCCTTAATCCATAAATGTCTCTACTGTAGCAAGATGCAGAACAATTAATATGGGATGTTGGTTCCATAAGACAAAACCCTTCAACGTTTCTGTGTCTCCACTCCGCAGCATCTTCAATGTCAGCTAAATCATCTGCATCTAGCATCCACACATAAGCAGAACTGAAGTTTTCTGAGTCGTCCGGTTTAGTCCAATGCTGCTCACTATCTCCTCCCTCAAGGAGGTTTTCATTGTTGATTTCATGCAAACAATTATACTTCTTGTTGGACCGCAGAGTAATCTCTCTGTTTTTCCACAAAGTCTTAGCATTCCTGTTTCTGCAGCTTTTCAGAATACCTCTGGTATGGCGAGTCGATATGATACCCAGTGCTCTGGAAATCCTCTCTATAGCCACATCCGTGATTTTTTCACATCCAGACAGATCAAGGTGGCGTAGATTTTGACAACAACCAACTGAAGACCAGCTGAAATTAGGGAAAAACGTGGTTTGGTTGGCTTTTTTTTAAGTTTTTGTTCAGAGACAGATATTAAGACTAGATATATAAACAATTCAGAAGTAAAACACTTACATTAATTCACAGACTATTTAAAGAAATACCCCAGACAGGTTAGATTTGATACTCTTACGTGCTGTATATATGCCTAGAAAAATTATGTCTAAAGGAATGAATCAAAAATCAGTAAAAACCTGTTTTTTCCACACACTGACCTAAGTCCAAATTTGCCATACACTTAATTTTTAAATAGTAGATCAGACTGCAAATACCAAAAACAGTGTGACAACAATTTCAAAAAGCAGCTTCTGTTGTGTATAATGCAGTTACCAAGAGCCATCCAAGTTACTAGACATCACAGTTAACTTCTCAGAAGGATGAAAAAAGTGAACTTACTGAACTAGCAAATTTCACCACTCTAAAAAAAAAATATATATATCTGAGATGTAATATTCAGTTCAAAGTATTTTAATGTATGTAATTTCTAGTATTTGAGTTTCTCAAGCTTGGCTCTTCATACGTATTGAAATATCAGTATACTTAGATCATATATCCGTCTGTCATTTCCTATTTCTTTCAGGGAGAGCAGGTGGATTCCTGAAACACATTCTGTGTACAGTATTAATTATTCCATAAAAGTGATGAGGATTAGAGATGGTAATGAAATCAGACTTTTTCATATTAACAAAACTCACCCCTTCAGCCATATCTTTTTCAACTGAAATAGAAATTTGATCTACAGTCATACTGTTATTAGCTATCAAAGTATATAGCTTATGTAAATTACCTTTACCTATCCATAGTTTATGCAAAGTAAATGAGAGTTAACATAAGTGATTACTTATATTTACAGCAAGCCAAACTAATTTTTTGAGTTACAACTTGGGGTGCTGGAAATATACATATAAGGCAAATGATGTAAGTTTCACTAGAGATTGATAAAAGCTCACAAAGATTGATTTCTGAGCCAAAGGCTTCAGAAGGACTCAGGAATCCACAGTTACTACACCTAAGCCTTAGAGCTTTGCCCACCATTTCATCAGTGCCTTAAACAGCAGTATTCCAAACACTAACAGCTATATTGGACCAAGAACTAACATAACTGAGACTCTACAAAAATCTATGGACAATTTCAAGTTGTTAATACTAGAACAAAATACAGTTACTGTTATGGATAGCTATACATTGAAAGGTAATACCTATCCAACAGTGAAGACAAAGCATTTTGTTGATTTGTTACACTGGTTTAGTTCTTAGTTACGTGTGAATCCTGAATGCGAGTTCCCTATTTCTCTCTTTATTGGCAATGGACTAAGACATGCTTGAATGTTTTTCCACTCAAAAAGCCGCTTTTTTTTAAAGAAACAACAATTATCTAACCTTTCAAATGCACAGTCTGAAATATCAGTTTGAGTGAGATCCAAATACTCCAAGTTGGGGCAAAGCTCCAAGATCTGTCTAACCTGGAAAAGGAAAGGAAAATAATCAGTAAAGACAAGCCAATAAGGCTGCACACGGTGTCAGACAACATATAAATTAACATTCTCTTAAATTGCAACTCATTTTGACCACCCAAGTGTTTTAAACTCAGGCGTATCAGTTATTAATTAGAGGCTGCATAACCACAATTATTAAATGCCAGTTTCAAATTACATACCATTTTGCTAGACACTGCAGAACTATAGGCCAATACAAACGTCTTCACTGAGGAGCCTACGTGCGGGAGGAGATTATGAATTAAGCCATGAAGTAAACGTTTTTCCATTTGTGCTATATTAATGGCAAGGGAATCTTCAGCTGCTTCTTCTGCAAAATAAAACCAAGAAGAAAGACTTAAAATATTCTTCGAATTACTTGGAATTCACATTGCCATCTTACATCAAACACATTATCAGGAAATTAAAGAAAGCTTAACAAGGCATAAGTTTCAGAAAGTACCTTACATCAAACTTTTGCTGAATTCTAGCTCAACAGACTACTTAAGCCTCATCTTTAAAAACCACCTGCTTGTCTTTCTGACAGTCCTGAAAAGTTTAACTTGCATGAGCAAGTACAAACAGTAAGAGTCTTAACAGAAAGTTATTATTAAAGGACTTGGAGAAATATTTACTACAGATTATGTACTGCTCAGGGCTCTTTGGGGCAGCTGTTTCCAGTTACTTGCTTTATACACTGAAATACTATCTCACAGTATTTAATATCCTGTGATATAACAGCTTAAGACAAATTTTAAATTAAGCCTAGAATGCATTAGGATGCAAGATGATTCATCCAAACTTCCTGAAGAGATGAAGCCTAGCTTTTACCTCCTTCCTAACTCCAGACACATCCCCATAACAATTCTACCTGCATCCATGTTTGCTCTCTCCTAGATGAACTAATGCAGCTCATTAAAGCCAGCTGCCTGCTTCTCCACCCTCCCACCATTACCCCCTTCCCTTTTTTTTTTCTCCTCTCTCCACTCAGGTGGGAGTCAGGATGAGATGAAGATGAGGAAAAAGAGCACTCCTTTCAGGAACCTTAATTAGTTGCTAGACAAAACTTCATGTTCTTTTTCACTGTATAACTCTACTTTGGTTAGTAAGCATTTAATCTAGACTGAACATAAGTATTATTGCATTTGTCATTATTTCAATGTACTGGTATCAACTATGATAAAATCTGTATTTTAAACTGATTTTACAGAAATGACTCCTTTTTATACATTTATTTCTTACAGCTATGTCATATTCAGGAAAAAATAATTCACGAAAATCAGAATTTACCTACCAGATTCATCTATGTCAGCATCTTCATCCCATTCCTGGAAAGCACGACTTTCATCTTTCCTGTTTTTTACCCATTCCTCATCAGGTTCCGTCTCAAGATCTGCTGCAGGACCACTATACCAATCACCTACTCAACCCCCACCCCAAAAAAAGAAGACAAGGAAAAAGAAAGAAAAAAGTTAAGACAAACTTCTCATCAATGCAGAAAACAGCAATGATCACTTCTCAGTATACTGTGACCTGACCTAAAGATAGAAATGAATTTTGCATTCATCTCAACTAAGTTTGGACTGAGCATTGACCTAATTCTTGTTTGATCTATATTTTAAAGCTTCACAAGATTCCTGGAACAGTTTCAGTACCATTACAGAACTCACAGCCCATTACACTATTCTGAGATATGCCTGTTGTCCTTATTTTCTTACTAGGGATCAATATGGTTGCAAAAATAACAGAAAGGATTATGGAGTATTTGGAGTGTTGAAGTTCTTTCTGCTACATACATTAACCAGCAACTTTCAGTATAACAGCTGGGTTAAGACATTTCTGTTTTCCTCTGGAATCTCACAAATATACTTTCAACCAAGATGCATCTTATTAGCCTGTTTTCAGTCACTGCACACGACAACTCCAGGATCAAGAAACCCAAGTTCCAGAGTAGCCTACTTACAAAAGCTATACAATACTGGATTGTTACATACATATGACTCAAATTAGTAGACAATCACTTTGTAGAACATCTAGATGAACATGAATATCAGCAACAACACCACTGTTTTAGCTAGTAGGGCACCCCCCTCTCCCCAAGGGTTACTCCACAGGCAGAATTTCTTTCTAGTTTGGGTATACTGTAGTGTTGGGCTTGGTGTAAGCAGGTCTGCTGCCTCCTTCAGCGTAGGCATGCTTAAAACACAAACACCTTATTCTACTACCTCACTAGTGGGGCATCCTACTATCTCAAAAGCAAGAGCAACCCCTGCTGAGCGGTATCTGAAGGCACAAAGTTTCTCATATGATCAACCCTGACTATGACATCCTAACTGATTTTCAGCCAACTGTGAAGCAAGTGTTTCAGTAACATTTCTCATCTTGTTTAGCCCATCTTTATAATACATAAAAAGCCTCAGAAGCCCTCCCTGTGTTAGGAGAAAAAAAAAAGTTTAAAATTTAATTAAGTCTGTAGTTTTATATTCTTTTTTTCCCTCTGGCAGTAAATCCCATTTGAGAAGCTTCCACCCTGTTTAGAGCACTTCTGCACAAACAACTCTAGTAGTACAGACAGTACGTCATGAAACTAGCTTCCTGTTGTGCCAAAAACAGGTTTAGGAATAAGTCATTTTAAGCAGTTGCCAATTATCTTTTTTTGTATAGCACTGAATGGAGACAACTCAGTTTTAGGTGAAAATGAAAATTTAATTTTAAATCCGAAATCTTTCTTTTCCATTCTTTGGCAGCTCATAGGCCAATCTATTATTTTCAGTAAGATTTATCTAACTAAAAAAATTAATTCAGAACAAAAGTCTCCACTCTGCCTTGTACTGATTTTAGAAGCCAGAAAGAAGGTTTTAGCTTTTATGTATCTCAAAATTTAAGTTATATATTGTTAGCTTTCTCTCAAAATCTTAAAGGCACATAAAATATAGTTTATTTTACAGTTATACAGCACAGATTGTCTCCTTTCTGCTCAACTACAGTGATACGGCAGCAATTGTGAAGCCTGCCATGTCATACTCCAGTGATTGTTTAATACTTAAATATGGACAAAAACAAATAGAAATATTTAAAGCTACAGATCTACTCTGATGACTTGTAACTGGCCTCATAGGAATACAGAGTATTTTTGTCTATTTGAACAGGTACTTTTGCAAAGGTTACACTTCTCAATAGAAAATTTTAATTAACAGGAGAGATGAGGACAGAAGCTATAAGAAAACCTTACAGCAGTAGAAGTTATTGAAGTAATATCTAAAGAATCAATACTAAAACTAACATTCACACAGTTTCCTTCGATGTTTGAATATAAAAAGAACAGATCATGAGAAAATGTTAGAACACCACTTGTTTTAAACTTCCATTCTGCTACGTATTTTATTTCTACCTAATAACCTAATGACATAAAAATTTTACTGATATAGTAACAGTAGCATTTTTAATTCAAAACCCCTTAGA